CTGGGGCCGAGTCCGCTGTCTGCAACCAGAGGCATCTCTGGATCTCAGCGCGTGGCGGGGCTGCTGAGGCTCGAAGCCCGTCCTGGAAGACTCCGGCGCCTGGAACTCTCGTCCCGCCCCACTGCTTTTCGGTTTTTACAGCTCTCCGTGCCTGGGAAAAGGAGCGGGCCTAACAAGGCTGCGGCTATGAGCCCAGCTCCTCGACAGGCAGCACAGGCGATTCTCCGCAGATCTTTGTGCATCAGATGTGAGAGACTTTTCTGGAATGTAATTTGGGTTTTCTGAGCCGCTGGTGAAGACTGGACCGACGGGGAATGAGCGCCCTCTGGTGGGCTTTCGGCTGCAGACGAGACCGACGTCGGTGCACGAGGCGCTGAAGACGTTCAGCACCCATCTAACAGGGATCCGCCTGAACCACGCATTTGTTTTAGTTTCAGTTTTTGTCGTTCCAGAACTTGAGCCCAGGGCCGCACACATGCTAGACGAGTACTGTATCACTGAGCTACATCACAGCCTGGCTGTAACCTTAAAAGCGTATGTAGCCGGGGATTTAGCTCAGTGGCACCGCACCTGCCTTGCAAGCTCAAGGTCCTGAATTCGATCCCCAGTACCAAAAGAAAAAAAGTATGTAAACGTTTTAGAAAGGAGTCATTTGAAAAAAAAAAGGTTTTTAAAAAAAGGAAAAAGGAGTTATTTGCATAAAACACAATTGGAAAGTCTAATTTGTTCCAAGATTCTGTCATCTAATACTTTATCCATCAAGGTTCCAAAACATTCAATAACAGCTATGTGCAGCATAAAACAGAAATAATAAAGGATTGTGCCTATCCATGCGTTATAAAAGCTGGGCATAGTGGCACAGGCAATTCCAGCACCTGGGAGACATCAACAAGAGTATAACTGTGACTTCGAGGCCAGCCTAAACTACATAGTGCGACTCTGTCTCAAAAAAGAAGCCCACTCGGCTGAGTGGGTTCATCATTCTGGGCCAAGGAAAAGGATTTGGTAGTGCAGACCATGTGAGTGCCGTTCTATAAGGAGACACAAGGAAAGTCAGAGCCACAGGAGCGGGGAGGAGTGTTAAAGTGTGTTGTCCTGCAAGTTATTGTACTAAAGAAGAAATGAGGTGTAGGGTGTAGTTTGCTATCCAAATGTGAGTTGTAGCCTGAAGTTCACTTTCAGCCACAAATGAATGAAATAATTGAAATATAATATGAAAAACATTCTTGATAAATGAACAATATAGGATGAAACATGGCATAAAGAGTCAGTGTGGTATTTAACTCAGTGGTTCCACTGCCTGCCTCGCAAGGGCAAGGTCCTGAGTTCCATCCCGGGTAACAAAAAAAAAAGTCAGTGTGGCCAGGCCTGGTGGTATATAACCTGTCTGTAATCCACTCACTCAGGAGGCTGAGGCAGGAGGACCACTGCAAGTTTGAGGATAACCTGGACTACATAGTGAGTTCAAGGCCAGCCTAAACTACATTAGGAGGCCTGTTTCAAAAACAAAAATAAAACAAACAATAGTGTATGATTTAGCAAGAAATTACTTGAGAGGACCTAAGCACATTCTAACCTTTATTTTATGAACCCTGTTTTAACACAGCTGGTGAAAATAGTGGAGGTGCAACTTTGAGGAAGAAATGAAGTAAGTGACTCCTATTAACTTACTTGTCAGAGACAGATACAGAGGAACTGTGCTTTCTGTGATAGGATCAGGTAAATCAAAAGGCTCAGAATAGGTAATTAGGATGAATACTTTACAGCTATCTACTGTGAAAAACAGGTGAACTCAAAGTGAGAAGTATGTATAGGAAAATAAGGGTAGGCCGGGGATTTGGCTCAGTGGTTCTGCTGCCTCCTTCACAGGCTCAAGAGCCTGAGTTTGATCCCCGGTACCAAAGATTAAAAATAAAAATAAAGGCTAAAAGAAGTATATGGATAACAATCACACTGTATAAATATGTATCATCTGTCAATAAACACTAAGAAATTGGAGTGAGGCTGAGCAGCGGCTGAGTATAATGTTCACCACCCTTTATTTTATAAAATTATTTTTTACTACTCCTTTTGATGAATGTGATTGCTATGTATATTTAAATTGTACCAATAAAGTTAATTAAAGTTTATTTTTCATGAAAAAAGAGTAGAGCCTACTTTTAAGGTAAATTAGAAAGTTGAAGTAAAAGAAATTTGGGACAGCCAGGTAAGAAGATAATTATATTCAGTTACAAATAATGTTACCATATTGTGTCACTCAGCCTTCTGTCACTGTGACAAAATACCTGAGACTAACAATTTGAAGGAAGAAAGGTTTATTTTGGTTCATGGCTTCAGGGGCTCAGTCCAAGGTCACTTGGCTCTGTTCTTTCTGGGCTGTAGCAAGGCAGAACATCATGGTGGAGAGGGTGACAGAGGAAAAGTACTCACCTCATGGCAGCCAGAGGTGCCAGGTATAAGATACAGCCCTCAAACCGGGCGTGGTGGTGCACGCCTGTAATCCCAGCACTTGGGAGGGTGAGCCAGGAGGATCACTGTGAGTTCAAGACCAGTCTGTGTCAACTATACAGTGAGACCCTGTCTCAAAAAAAAAAAAAAAAAAAAAAAAAAAAAAAAAAAAAAAAAGCTACAGCCCTCAAGATCATGCCTCTATGACCTACTCCCTTTGACTAGACCTCATTTTCTAATGAACTATTGAGCTATGGATTAAACTAGTCAATGGATTAATTACTGATGAGGTTAGCATCTCATGATCCAAACACATATCCTAGGTCCCGCCTCTGTACATGTGAGCCTTTTGAGGGACAGTTTTGATCTACACCATAACAATGAAGACTAGAGTTGTCAGGGACTGGCTCTCTGGGACAGCCAGAGACCAGGTGAATGAGCTTTAACATGTTCACAGTGGGGCCATAATTCACATCAGCTGCCTGGCAGCCCTGATTTGAATTCGATCATTTCTGCCAACTTGAATCACGGGTGGTACATAATGACTGTCCCATTGGACAGCTTGTGCTTCT